GTTTTTTACTTTGATGATTTCTTGTTATCCATTTATGCGTTTTGGTTATTATGTTTATTTATGTTCGATTTAGGTGTCCTTTTAATATATGAAGTCACAGGTGAAGAGCAGTTTCATTTTGGGTTCGGGTCAAGTGCCAAGCTGTTGGAGATGTGTGTGTGTGTGTGGTTTTAGAGAATAGAGAATGGGTTTGGATGAATTTTAGTCAATTTTTTCGATTTCAGGACCGGATGTTGGGAGGTTATTCGATTATTCAGTCGTCGTTTCGTGCTTTACCTACGCAGTCTGATTCCTCAATATGACGAAGAAGTAGATCCATACGAAGGGTTATTCGTATATGAGCATACCAAAATTCTTAGGATCAAAGAACAGCCGGAAGATCCACACCAGGTTTAATTCGTTTACCTCTACTCAAGTTTTTTCTCAAATGGTTATATTATTCATTGTAACACGGTGTAGATTCTGTTACAATGAACTTCAGGGAAGGAGAAATCAAGGAGGGATCACCGAATCTCTTATGAAGGTAATTCATTCTATTTTTTTTTGTCAATTTCCCTATTTGGTCGATTTGCTGAAAGTAATCCTACATGTTTCAACCCTAATTTTTAGATATGATTATCATCAGACCTCCTTTCTCTTCTCCAATCCTCTATCTGACATCAGGATGATTCTGTTTCGTGTTTTAAGTCTACCGTTTTGCTCAATATTATCATCAGACTTGCTTTCTCTTCACTAATCCTCAATATTTTTAGATATGCTTATCATCAGACCTCTAATCCTCTTTCTGGCATCAAGTATGATTCTGTTTTGTGTTTCCAATCCACTTCAAGCTTTTGTCTCCGTGTTGAAGTTCTCCCACACGTTGTGGCTTTCACCTAACTCACTTTGAGTGAAACTGATTAGATTCTAATTCTCATGAAAGCTTACTTTTGATTTTTTGGATTTATGTTTTCGTTTACAAATTGATGCTTATTTGGTGATGGTTAGTGATATATGAGATTCAATTAAGTTAGAAGCTGATGATGCACCAAGAAGAGGTTTTATGTATCAAGGGTCCATAATAAACGAATCTTGCAACTAGATAAATTTTCGTGAAGGGTAAAGGTTTTACTTTTATTAAAAGTTGTAAAATTAGTGAGTGAATGATGTTAATGTTTATACAGGTATACTGGCGAGGTAATAATGGGTTGTAGCTAGGATGAGATTTAGAACCGGAAAACCGGACCGGAACCGGAACCGTTAGAACCGGAATATGTAAAACCGGTCCGGGTCCCGGGTTTAAAGAATGGATCTATCCGGGTTTCGGGTCCTTCGGGTCCGGGTAAAACGGTTTTAAGAACTGGAACCGTGTTAGAAACCGGAACCGGTTTTAGAGGCCGGAACCGGTTTCTATGAAAAGTTTAAAACATGCATATCTCATTCGTTTGAAGTCGGATTGGCATGAGGTTTTTTCAATAGTATAGTTTATAATTTTAACATGATTTTAGACTATAATTTTCTCATTTTTGGGTTTATATTCATTGACTTATAGTCTCTCAAAGTCGGGATATCAAAGCTAGAAATTTTATGTTTTTCAGCTTTTTTTGTATTCTATGATAGTTTTAAAACATGCATATCTCAATCGTTTAAAGTTGGATTGGCATGAGGTTTTTTTCATAGTACAGTTTATAGTTTGTACATGATTTTAGAATATAATTTTGTCATTTTTGGGTTTATATTCATTGACTTATAGTCTCTCAAAATCGGGATATCAAAGCTGAAAATTTTATGTTTTTCAGCTTTTTTTATATTATGTGACAGTTTTAAAACATGCATATCTCATTCGTTTGAAGTCGGATTGACATGAGGTTTTTTTCAGAGTGTAGTTTATAGTTTGTACATGATTTTAGACTATAATTTTGTTATTTTGGGTGTTTATTCATTGACTTATAGTCTCTCAAAGTCGGGATATCAAAACTGAAAATTTTATGTTTTTCAGCTTTCTTTATATTTTGTGATAGATTTAAAACATGCATATCTAACTCGTTTGAATTTGGAATAACATGCGGTTTTTCCAAAGTGTAGTATAGAGTTTGTACATGATTTTAGACTATAATTTTGTCATTTTTGGTTTCATATTCATTGATTTATAGTCTCCCAAAGTTGCGATACCAAAGCTGCGAATTTTTTTTTCTCAGCTTTATTTTTGTATTTTGTGAAATTTTAAAACATGCATTCGACCGACTTTACCCGGTTCCTCGGGTTTTTTGGTTTTAGAGCCACTTTACCCGGTTCCATTCGACCCACTTTGATATTTTCGGGTTTTCCGGTTCTAGACCCACTTTACCCGGTACCTTACCCAGAACCGAACCGGAACCGGTTCCTATATACCGGTCCGGTTCCCGGTCCTAAAAAATCTCGTTAACCAGTTTCCGGGTTTTCCGGGTCTGGGTCTACTGGTCCGGGTTTGGACCCACTCTCATCCCTAGCTATAGCAATAAATGTATTGGACAATTTATTATTTTTTATAATTTCATTATAATCTTATTTGGGTTTTAATCAGCTTTTATCATGTTTACTGCTTTTGTAAATATAAATTCATTGCTTATAAATTAATGATGGATAAAAATGACTAAAAGAAATATAAAGAAATATAAACCCGGGGACAAGAAGAAACATAAAGCATTTTTATGAGGTTTTCTTAGATTATAGCGTTGTACTTTAATCGGTTGCAAATATTTTCAAAGAAACATAAGTACAATGTTATTTCAGTTTTCAATCATAACAATTTTTTATGAATTGGAGGGTGGAGGGGTATAATGGTCATTTAGAAGAAAATAGTGAATTGGTGTGCATCTGATGTGACTGTATGTTTGTGTATGCTTTGGCTGGGTAGTGTGACAAAGCCTTCAAGTTTTCTATCTCACATTCTTCTAAATTTTTGTAACCTATGTTCCTATTTGAGTTGGTGGTTATCTGATATACCATTTGATTTTATCACAGATGGCCGCTATAACTGGTGTTGTCAAGAAATAGCAACGTACTCTCAATATTAAATTTTAAAATAAACGAAAATGGAGAATGCATGGGGCAATTTAGGTATATTGGTATATTGTTTTTATTTAATCCTATTTTTCCTGTTATTAAAGAACAACGAACATTAGCCTAACTTTTAAACTTACATTGGGTGACATGAATTAAAGGGGAAACAAAAGGGTCAAAATAACAATTTTGAACAAAAAATATACTATATTTTTCGTTTTAATTGTTTCATATCAATGTACCTTTATTTTTTATGTTTATGTTGGCAAATTACGAAAAGGTATTTTTGAATCAAAATAAGGTCATTTGACTCCAAATTTCTTCAACTTAACAGTTTAGGTAGTATAATGCCAAAATGAGATGTATTTAAAAAAAATCAAACTTTTTTTGACCTCAATATTAAAATTTTAAAGTAAACATAAATGGAAGCTGCAGGGGCAATTTGGGTATATTGGTCTTTTGTTTTAACTTTATTATATTTTTCCCGTTATTAAAAAACAATGAATATTAGCCAAACTTTTAAACTATACATTGGGTTGACATGACAAAAAAAAGTGAAAAAATGGTCAAAATGATAATTTTAAACAAAAAATAATTTGTTTTAAGTGGGTAAATTACAAAAATAATAATAATAATAATAATAATAATAAAATAAAAATGACCAAATTGGACAAAAAAGTCATTTTGAGTAAAAAAAGAGGTCATTTTGACTCCGAATTTCTTCAACTTAACGGTTTAGGAAGTATAATGCTAATATGAGACTTATTTAAAAAATATCAAACTTTCTGCTTGTGGCCTCATTTTTGTGATTATTGGTGATCTAAACTAAAGTAGAATAATGAATAATTTATTTTTATATAAATGTCTAAAAATATAGCATTATATTTTAAAAAAAAATGTTGCCCTTAGCTGTGATCTTATCCAATCCACCTGGTGTTATTTTTTTAACATCGGGTTTATGAGAATTTATTATACAATATGTATTTTCTATTCATGCATTTTAATTAAATATTTAGCAATTGCTTTTAATAATTGTTTTCATTTTTTTTTAGTTTTTTTACATGTATTCATAGAAACATAAAAACACCAAAGTGCGTTGTTTCATTGTTCTTTTTTTAAAAGGGGAAAATTTTGATCACCCCTGTATGTAATTATGTATTTCTCATGCATGGAGTGTTTATGTAATTTTGTATTTGTCATAACAATTTTATGAAATGTGTGTATGTGTTGTAAATAAAATGAGAATATGGTCGTTGTTATTATAAAGTACAAACTTTCCCCTTTTAAAAAAATAAAATCAAGCAATCGTACTTTGTTGTTTGTATGTTTCTATGAGTAAAGGTAAAAAAAAATAGAAATTTGTCGTTATAAAATTTTAAAGTAAACAGAAGTGGATAATGCAGGGGAAATTTGAGTATATTGGTGTATTATTTTATTTTATCATATTTTTCATGTTATTAAAGAACAAACATTAACCAATCATTTAAACAATACATTCAAATTAATGATATATTATTTTATTATATAACCAATTTTTTAATTCTATTTAAAATTATTACCCGTGGATTCCATGGGTTTTAACCTGGTTAGTTGATGAAAGGAATCGTAGACATTTATTCTTAATAAACATTCGAAATATCATTCGCTCAATTTTTTTCCAATAGATATAAAAATAAGATGCATTGCTGTTTTGGTAGATTTTTTTTTTCTGAAATTGACATGGGCCACCAAAGTCCAAACTATTGGCTGACTACATTAAAGTAAAGCCAAAACAGCCCATAATAATTTGTTCAAACTCAAACTCCAAGCAATCTGCTACTAAGGCGCCATTTTATCCGGCAAGAACCACCACCTTTCTCCCTTCAACTGCCACACTTCTCTCATCTCTGCCCCCTAAAACACTTTGCCGCTCTTCACAGCTTTGTTTATTGATCAACCAGTTCTTTCTAGATTTCTCCATTACAATTCCTTTTTTAATCATGACACGTAAATCTCTCACATTCCCACAACACGAACACTTGTTGTTGAAGCGACCAATGATGGGGGGATCGTCTGTTGACTTTCCAATCGAGCTTTCGTGTCGAAATCAGTTCCTTATCCCGGTTTATTTTTTTTCCTGAGGGCGCTTACCCCCTACTCCTCGAATCTCGCTGTTTGATGCTATTCCATTTCATATCTCCGTTTCTTTCGGCTCGAGATTTCGTAATGTATTTCTAAAAGTCACCAAGCCATTTGCACTTCAGTCGCACGCCGTTCCCTTTTCTCTTTTCCCCTTTGAGTAATTCTCACAGCAATTTGGGTTCAATTCCCACGTCCAGCAGCGTTCTCACTTGTGATATTAACTTTTATAACCTGGTTCGTAATTCATAGATTCCTGTTGTGTATGATTGGATTATTTTGACTGTTTCTTTTCTTACTTGCTTTCGTTGGATACTGAGTTTTTCTGGGTTATTTTGTTGGGAAGTAGTTCATCAACCTTTTGTAATTAAAGAGAAGCCTTCTAGCCTCTAGGTCTTTACATCAGACCAATCTCAATCAATTCAGGTAAGAATTTTCTCTTTTAGCTGCTTTTCCTACTGAGTAATATCAACCCTTTAACAAAAAGAACTTGGTATGCTTTTTCTGTTCATGTTGGTGTACTTGATTACAAAGAAAAAGGTTATATATATCAAACTCAACTTACTCATATTGAATTCAAGTTCCAAGGTATCACAGAGTTTGAACCCCCTGTATTTTATGATTTGTGACAGGCATCTTGCAACGTTTCAATGTCAACTGAATTCAAGTTGAATGTCACCATTAATCCTGATGTCAAGGAATCAGATTTCAACTCTTCACTCGAGATTTCTCCACATGGTGGAAAGGTGAATGTAGTGCGCAGGATCATTGGTGGTCTTCTTCATCAAGGAAAGAGACCAGGTAGCCATATCTTAAAAACTACAGAACGCAGAGGAACAAACGAAAGGTGTAATTATATCATTTAATTGCAATTAAAGTATCATCTTCAAACTTATAAATTATCTGACAGAAGTGCTTATTACCTTCAAGCAGATCCAGAAACAATAGGGACACATCAAGTGAGAACAATGAACTTCATGTTGATACAGGTGATCAAAAGAGGGCTCATGAACTGAAAATTAGATCTGGACCTTTGGTGTCAGGAGCTGCATACTGTCTTTCATCTTGCAGCATGATCTTACTCAATAAAGTTGTCCTTTCAAGTTATGCTTTCAATGCTGGAATATCATTGATGTTTTATCAGGTAACTCTATACATATCTTTGTATCTATTTATATCATGTGATCACGTCCATCATCAATCATAGTTAACTAGTGCATCTTTTTTGAATTCCCCATACTTTTTTTCACTTTGTTCTAAAAGGGTCATTCTTAAAACATGTAAATCTTGCAGAATCTCATCAGTTCTATCATAGTTATTGTTTTGGGTTTATCTGGATTAGTTTCACTGGAAAAGCTTAACTTGAAACTGGTTAAAGTCTGGATACCTGTGAATTTGATATTTGTGGGCATGCTTGTTTCAGGCATGTATAGGTATGTCATCATCAAGAATTCATTTTTTTTTTCCTAGAACAAAAAAAAGACATGATCTTGTTTAGAAAAATTAAAACAACCAAAAAAACAAGATTATACTTGTATGTTTCTTTAATCTATAACCTTCTAATCATGTGATTTCTGATGAATCTTTTTAGCTTGAAGTACATAAATATTGCAATGGTCACGATTTTGAAGAACATGACAAACATATTAACAGCAGTTGGTGAATTATATATATTCCATAAAAGACAGAATCAGAAAGTCTGGACTGCAATGTTTCTTATGGTAAGCTAAGTTTTCTTGAATAACTTAATCTTTTTCTACATAAAGTTTTGATTTTTATTAAAAGAATGTATTCTTTTAAATCATAAATTCATAACTACAAACAATCCACTCAAATCCATTCTGATCTTTATGAAAAAAAAAATCATCAAAATATTGCAGATCATCTCTGCCATAACTGGAGGTATCACAGACCTCTCATATGATGCAACGGGTTACACATGGCAACTAGTGAACTGCATTCTGACTGCAAGCTACTCGGTATGTCATTTTGTTATTCATTTTGTTCATTCATTGGAGGATAGAATGGTAATTTTTCACACCCTTTTGTTCATATATATGTACCTTTGTGCTTTGCAAACAGCTTACCCTACGAAGAGTCATGGACACAGCAAAAGCTGTGACAAAATCTGGATCTTTAAATGAAGTTTCAATGGTGTTGCTGAATAATCTATTATCTTTACCACTTGGCGCGTTCTTGATTATATTATTTGATGAATGGAGTTATGTAATCAACGCGTAAGAAAAAGCCTCATTTCTATAACAACCATTGTTTCAATACTTCCCAAAAAAAATATATATCCTAATCTTTTTCAAGATTCGATTTTCAGGGAAGTAATCAAGATTCCCATGTTTTGGGTGGTGGCAACCACTAGTGGGATTCTTGGACTTGCCATTAGCTTCACTTCAATGTGGTTTTTAAACCAAACTGGTCCCACCACTTACAGGTAACAGTTTATGATCCACTCAACAAACTGAAAGCAATTCTGATCATGTTTTTAATCCGATGTTATCTACTAAAATCTGTGTTTTGATTTACAGTTTAGTGGGGTCATTAAACAAGATTCCCATATCTATTGCTGGTTTACTGCTGTTCAATGTTCCACTTAGTGGGCCAAATCTCTTTAGCATACTATTTGGTAAGCAAGATGATCTTAACTACATACTAACAACCATTTCAGGCCATATTTATGTTCTTAAATGTGCTGTTTTCTAGGTTTATTTGCTGGTATATTCTTTGCAAAGGCCAAAATGTCATAATTCCATGCCATCAAGTCAAACATCTTTCACTAGTTACAATCTGATTGCTGATAAGAGCCAGATCAAATATGATTCTGGAAACAAATGAATTGGGAATCAGAAAGGATCATATAGAGGCTTGAAGAAGTCTTGTATACATGCTTTGTTCTGGTTCAAAGGCACACCAGGAGTGAAGATGCCAGATTATCAAACATAAGTTATCTTTGTGTTATTGTTGTTATTTCCTTCATAATATTATACATACCAATTTTTTTTTTCTAGCTTGGTATTATGGAACAGGTAGATGTCTGTCTTTCGTGCTAACTGAGTTGATGTAGAATTTTCATGTTTGAGATTCTTTCTATGCCTTAGTCTTATGAGCATTTATTAGATACATTGATGTATGGTGGTGATAGTTAATCCATGCAGAAAGTAATCGTTACATTAAACTCAAAGGAAGAAGATAGAATAATTGATGCAATAGTGAGTGAAAGTAGAAAGGAAAATATAACCATGATACAACACAGAACATTAAGCCACATACAATAATGCAGTTCAATTAAACTAAACAAAAACAATGGTTGGGAAGTTAGCAACTAACAACACTTGACTTTGTGAGGACTACATATATAGCAAGGCGCATAGGGTAAAGTTCCATTTATAAGACATAAATAATGTACTTGGTTATGTAAACTCAGATGTGTATGGGGACTTGTAAATGCATAGTCACTAGGTGGAGAAAGTTACATCTTTTCTATTATGGGTGATCATCTGAGGAGAGTGGGTATACATGCACACTACTAGAAAATTCTTATTTACCTACAAAAATCACCTACGGAATAAAATTTGTTGGTAATTACATACGAAATGCCTACAGAATAGCCACTAAAATATTTGCCCTTAATCACCTACAAACTACCTACATATTAGCTACAAAAATAATTTCTGTAGGTAATCCGTTCACCTTACCTACGAATAATAATATTATATTCCAAATTAATACTTTGTAGGTATTCCGTAAGAATTTATCTACATCATAGCGACGGAAAATTGAAAAACCCCAATTCTTTAATCGAGTTAAAAATGTTGTAGGAATTTTGTAGGCAATTAACTACATATTACCTACGGACGTGAAAAAAAGTGGGAACTTTTT